CAGTCACACTGACCTCAATAATCCCAAGAATGAGATTATCCCATGCATGAGTTGGTGCAGCTACATAGTTTTTTAAAATCTTGGATTTTGGTTAGGCCTCGTTTGGAGTCCTGTGCCCAGTTTTGGGCAACACAGTTGAAGAAAGATGCAAACCAGCTGGGAAGTGTTCAGAGGAGGGCAGCAAGGTTGATCCAGAGACTGGAAACAAAGCCCTGAGGGGAGAGATTGAAAGAACTGGGCATGTTTAGCATCAAAAAAAGAAGTCTGAGGGGAGACAGGATAGTCCTCTACAGGTACTTGAAAGGCTGTCACAAAGAGGAAGGTCAGGATCTCTTCTAATCATCCCAGAGTGCAGGACACGGAAGCCAGTGTGGTGTCGTGGTTAAGAGCATGGGACTGGGACTCAGAGGATCTGGGTTCTAGTCCCCACTCAGCCATGGAGCCAACTGGGTGACTTTGGGCCAGTCACAGACTCTCAGCCCAACCTACCTCACAGGGTTGTTCTTGTGGGGATAAGATGGAGTAGGAGATGTAAGCTGCCTTGAGCCCTTTGTAGGAAAAAGGCAGGATATAAATCACAATATAAATTAAAAAAAAAAATAAGGGTCTTAAAGAGGAAGCCAGGGTCCGGCTGAGCATCCGGAAGAGCTTCCTGCAGTTACAGCAGTACCACAATGGAACCCATGACCCAGGGAGGTGGTGGGCTCTCCCACTCTGGGGGTATTCTGGCAACTGGACAGCCATTCAGAAGGGATGGCTTAAGCGGGAGTCCCGCACTGAGCAGGGGGGTGGCCCCCCATGGCTCTCGGGTCCCTTCCAACTCTGCTATTCTATGATCTGCCGGTCCTCCACTAGGGAAAGCTTTAGACAGCAATCTGCATACCTTCTCAACGGCGGCATTCCATGAGTCCCTGCTTCTCCATTCCTGCTAAGTTACAGCAGCAGTGTTTGCCAACCCTGATTTTAAAAAGAAACAAAGAAAAGACATTCTCTGAGCATGTGCAGTTTCACATTTTTTTAAACACGTAGATCCCAGGACTTTTGCAACAGGAGAAATAAAATTGAGTTTGTTTCTGTTGTTATCCTGGGCACCAAGCATGGGCCAATAAAAAGCAGTTTACTGGGAGAATCCACACCACTTTGTTGTAGGAAATGGATCTATTTTAGAGCAAAATCAAATGATTATTATAAATAACAAATTATTCAGTTAAGAATAAAACTAAAATTGCATCTGGAGGCTTGCACACAGCCAGGTCAGCTGCCCTCTAGGAGAGGAAGATGGGGCGCGTGGTGGCAGCCCTGGGGGACCCTTCCAGGGCCATGATTTTAAGTGCTCCTCTCTGTTAAGGAAGGTGGGCCCCCAGTCTTGTGAAGCCAGGGGGCTCAGCCCCACGCTGCGACCCACTGACATGATGAGGATGAGGATGACAACTATCTCTGATTTTATTTCTAAACAGCCCTATAGGCAAAGGTCTCCGGGCAGTGCGGAGCAGTTCACGATCACAGATCCAAACAGCGAGAATCCTGCCATCGACAATAGCGAGACGCCTGGAAAGAAGGAGTTAAAACCAAAAAGGAACAGCCGTTGCAAGAGAGGATTTGAACCGGGCGACGTAAACAGGGAAAAGACCCTTCCTGCTCGCTCCCTCTGCAACCCGCCCGGGAGCACCTGCTGTTTGAATTGCGGCTCCGGACTTGCTCCGGCGCTACGCGGAGCGGGCCTTGCTGCGGGATCCACAGGGGAGGTGGGTGACGCGAGCGCTGGGGGCTGCAGGGGGGCTGGATCCTGCAACGGGAGGCCACGGGGAGGGCGAGATCATGGAGCTGCAGGACGGAAACAGCAACCCGTCTTGGCTGTAAGGAGGCCTTTCCCACAAAGGTCCAGACTCTTGGACTCCAAGGCCCAGCATCCAAGACACTGGCAGGGCATCGGGTTGGGAAAAGTTGCTGTAAAGGATCAATTTCCTTGCAGCGTTTTCTACAGGTGTGGTTTTGCCAGGCAAGGTTATACTAAATCGGGGGAAGGCAATGTGGGACCCCGTTTTCTCCTTGGAGTTTTGGACCGTGGTTGTCTTGCATGGAATGAAAGCTCTCCAAGATGTCCTCTCCATGACATCGCTGGTTAGCTTTCCCAAATTCAAGGCTGTGCCTTCCCTTATGGAGTCCAGTCATCTCTTGGTTGGTTTTTCTAGCTTTGGACTACAGCTCCCATAATCCCTGGCCATTGGTCATGATGGATGGCGCGGATGTGAACTGCATTCTGGAACTGCTGGAGGGCACCAGCAAGAGTGGGCAAGGTTGGGCACCGACCCAGGCAGCTGCAAGGACCCACGGCTTGACACTCCGATTGGGGTCCCTCCAACTCTTTACCGTGGCAACCTGGTTCTTGTGTTTTATCTCCCCTGGGCCAGGCAGCCGTGGTGGTCACAGCCGTCTCGCTCCCAGCCTTGTGCCTGCCAGCGATGCATCGTCACAGTTAGAGTGCTGAAGTGCGATGGGACTCAGGAGATTCAAGTTGTGCTTCCCGGTTGGCCACGAAGCTTGACTGAAGAATCTGGGGCCTGTCCCTGCCTCTCAGACCAACCTGCCTCACAGGGCTGTTGTGAGAAGAAACTGGAGAGGAGCAGGTATAAAGCACCTGAGCTTCCTTGGATAGAAAAAAGCAAGTGAAGGAAAACCTGGTTGGCTGGAGAAAATCAGGAGTTTAGGACCTTTTCTTTGTGGAAACATGTATAAAATTGCATCCTCAAAGGATAATTGCTGAGCACAAAATCCTGACTTTGTATACAGGCTGATAGGACCCAACCTAGAGGCGAGTGACTAAAAAAGAGGGACAGATCCATGAGGAAGGCCGACTATGGAAAAGGCAAGCTGCATATTAGGAATCCCTGAGAGAAGGACCGACCCCCCCCCCCCCAGGGTCACTCTGCCCTACTTTGGTCCGAAAGGATGTGGCGCAAGTGGGAAATGCTGCATTTCCCCCCAGCCCTGGTGAGAAAAGACCTAAACCCTCACTGGCCATTTTATATATATATATAAATAAAAATAAAGACATTTTTATGCCGCCCCATTTGCTGAAGCCTTGGGGCGGCTTATACAATAAGTTAAAATACAAACATTAAATTATAACCTTAAGTTAAAATGCTTGTAAAATGTAAACATAAAGTTAAAACACAAAAATAACAATATAAAATAAGTCGCCCTGGCCAGATAAAATCCAATAATATTAACAATTAAAATGACGCTTAAATAAAAAGGTCTTCGCCTGGCGCCGAAAAACAAATAACAATGGCACCAGGTGGACCTCTGGTCAAGGCATTGGAATTAGCTCACTCAAGTTTAGGGGTAACAATCCACTGCTTGAGGTAGTAAAGTATAAAAGTGGAGGGAGGAATAAAAGAAGAAGGATTAAACTAGGTAAAAAAGGGAAAGACGAGGGTGGGTAGCACCAGCCAAAAATATAATATGTGGAGCTCACCTCACTTTCCCCGAGACCCTTAAGTCTTGTTGTACCAATAGAACAAAAAAAAAAAAAAAAGCGCACACTTACACTACTCTGTTTGTGTATATACCGCCTTTCTTGTTTTGTCTTGTTCAATCACAAAGTCTTGCCTGACTTTCCATGACTCCATGGACCACAACAAGCCTCCACTGACTCCCAAAGTTCACCCAACCCCACACCCACCAGTGACCCCATCCAGCCACCTCAGCCTCTGCCGTCCTCTTCTCCTTGTTAGTTAGTCTCTTCTCCTTGTTGTTAGTCGCGAAGTCATGTCCAACCCATCGCGACCCCATGGACAACACTCCTCCAGGCCCTCCTGTCCTCCACCATCCCCCGAAGTCCACTCAAGCTCATGCTGACTGCCTCAGTGACTCCATCCAGCCACCTCATCCTCTGCCGCCCCCTTCTTCTTTTGCCATCTATTGTTCCCAGCATTAGGCTCTTCTCCAGGGAGTCCTTCCTTCTCATTAGGTGGCCAAAGTATTTGAGTTTCCTCTTCAGGATCTGGCCTTCTAAAGAGCAGTCAGGGTTGATCTCCTCTAGGACTGACCGGTTTGATCGCCTTGCGGTCCAAGGGACTCGCAGGAGTCTCCGCCAGCACCACAATTCAAAGGCCGCAATCCTTTGGCGTTCACACTTCCTTATGGTCCAGCTTTCACAGCCAAACATTGCAACTGGGAAAACCATAGCCTTGACTATACGCACTTTTGTTGGCAGGGTGATGTCTCTGCTTTTTAGTCCAGGGGCTGGAGCAACATCTCTCCCCACAGTCTGGGATTGTTTAGCTGAGAAAACTGTTGGGGAAATAGAATTGTATTAAAAGGTTGCATATTTTTGTTCTTGCTGGCATTGAAATTGCCCTCGTTTATTACAACCGACCAGTGAAATATTGGTTTATTTATTCCTACAAGGAACCCAAGACAGCTTCTGCAATCCTTTTTCTCTTCTCTATTTTATCCCCACAACAACCCTGTAAGGTGGGTTAAAAAGAATAAGTGATTGGTCCAAAGCCACCCAGCAAACTTCATGGCCACATAGGGAAAACCAGCCGATTCTCCCAGGCTCCAGTGCAACATGTTCAGTTCTTTGCCCGAGTTCACATGGATTCCCTAGGAAAGCAGGGGCACAAGGGAGCACTTATGGTTAGACTGAATGTGTCATTGTTATTCTGTTTTTCTATCCAAGGAGGCTTGCAAAATTAGAAAAACAGGACAACAAGGAACATGCAAACAAAACAAAGTTATTGGAAACACTATGTACATATATATGTATGTATACATAAAATATTATTTGTTTATATTAGCTCGCACCATTTTTACGGCTTTTTTTTTAGCAAATGTGTTGGGATTTTCATGATTGATCTAATTTTTTACATCACCTTTCTATCCAGAAAAATGGCACTAAGTAATGGCACATGATTAATTTTCAGAAATGGCGGGTGTTTGCTGAAATGCCCTCTGGGTGGAGAAAGAATCTCTCCCCGCTCGTCTCTCCCCAGTTCTGGGCTGGAGCAAAGGAGGGGTGCGAAGCCAAAGATGAAGATGGAGGAGCAGGGGTTGGCAGCCTCCGGCCCGGAGGCGGTGTCAGCGATAGCAGGAGCACCCCCTCCTGGCCTTCACGTGGGGTCCGCCCGGCAGAGCCCGCGGGCGACAGAACCGCAGCGTGTTAAGCAGGAGCCCAAGGACAGCCTGTCGCTGCAGTGCTGGGAGGCACAGTGGCAAGACTTCCTCAAGGCGGTGCAGTGCCCTGAGAAGGAATGGGGAAGCCCGCGGCTTCCAGAGCCCGAGGCCTCCACCGTTCGCCCCTCCAGAGCCGCTGGCTCGGAGAGACAGCGCCAGAACTTCCGGGAGTTCCGCTACCAGGAAGCCTCCAGCCCGCAGGAGGTCTGCCGCCGTCTCCGGGAGCTTTGCCACTGCTGGCTGAAGCCGGAGAGGCACGCCAAGGAGCAGATCCTGGAGCTGGTGATCCTGGAGCAGTTCCTGGCTGTCCTGCCCTTGGAGATGGAGAGCTGGGTGAGGGCACACAGCCCAGAGACCTGCGCCCAGGCAGTGGCCCTGGCTGAGAATTTCCTGCAGGAACAGCGAGGAGCCAGGAGGCCAGGAGAGCAGGTAAGGACATCTTCCTGGCTTTGGGTGTAGTTTCAGCAAAACTCTTTGTGCGGTATCTTAACTCTCACAGCTCACAATCAGCAGCTGCCGCTTCTTTGCCTCCCCTTGACGATCACCTGCTTGCTTGCGGGCAAGGAGGGCTGCTCATCCTCACAACCCCTGCTGGCTGGCTTGCTCGCTGCCTCGGTCTGTTGCTCCAGCCCTTCTGGAGAGCTGGAGGTGGGTGCGTGGAGGAAGTGGTGCTGGGTGAGGAGGAGAAGCAGGTCGAGGAGGTGCTCCTCAGTGGCAGCCGAGTCTTTCTTCGCGGCAGGTGAGGAGACCCATCCTGCAGGGCCCTGCTCGTCCCTCCCATGCCCTGTTGCCACCCAGCTGCATCTGCTGCCTGAGGTGACTGCCTCACTTTGCCCAACAGCAGGGCTGGCCTTGGCTGTCCTGTGGAAAATGGGTGGATGCATTCTCTGTCGCTCCCGGGAGCAGGAATCGGACTGACAGCTGGAAATGGTGGGCACATCAAATAGTAGAGTCGGAAGGGGCCATGCAGGTCATCGGGTCCAACCTCCTGCTGTTGCAGGACACCAAGCTGCACCACCCCACACAGATGGCTGCCCAGTTTCCCCTTGAACGTCTCCAGTGTGGGAGAGCCCCCCACCTCTCCAGGCAGCTGGTTGCCCTGTCGTGTTGCTCTGACAGTGAGGAAGCTTTTCCTGATGTCCAGCCTGGACCTGGGTTGTCGCAACTTGAGCTGATTATTCCATGTCCTCCACTCTGGCATCAGCAAGAAGAGATCATTGCCTTCCTCTTTGTGACAGCCTTTGAGGTACTTCCAGAGGGATATCATGTCCCCCCTCAAATCTTCTCTTCTCAAGGCTGAACATGCCCAGTTCTCTTGGTCCCTCCTCATAGGGCTGTGTTTCCAACCCTGGATCATTTTTGTTGCCCTCCTCTGCACCCTTCCTAATTTTTCTGCATCTTTCTGAAATCTTGGTGCCCAGAACTGGACTGTTCAGTTAAACACCAGCAAAACCTCCTTGGCAGTCAGGGCCAACTGGGGAATATCCACCCTCAGGGATCTACCTGACTGGTCGGCCATTTGCAAGGGGTGTTGTGGTTACAAGGCGCCTTCATGGAACAGGCTGGACCAGATTTCCTGGAAGGCTCCTGCCAATTCCGACATTCCAGGATTGTCCTGTCTAGCCCTGAGTGATACCAGCTCCTCAGGGTCTCCGGTGGAGGTTGCTCACTCCCTGGTCCCTTTAGCTGGGGGTGGACCCTGCAATGCTTTGAGCGCAACTCTGCAATGCAGCCATCCTGTTCCTCTCGTGCCGCCGGGACTAAAATACTGGAGGTTGTTTTCCAGGGATCGCGGGGGCCGTGCTGGAAGGAGGATGCTGCAGAAGGTGGGGCTGTGCCGAACCTGCTTGCCCAGGGGGAGGTCAAGCAAGAGGGTGGCAGGACCACCAGCTTGTCCGGTAAGGATTGCTGGCACCTGAGTCTATTTGTGGCTGTCAGGTGAATACAAGAAGTGCCACACCTGATCAGAATGGGTGATTTTTGGAGCGTCTGCCACGGTTTATATAATACGTTGTTGGTTATTGGATTGCACTGTGAGGAAAACGCTACATGAAAGGTGATTCAGAAAGACCACCATCAGCAATATGATGGTGAAGGAAGGAGAAGTCCAGTCAGGGCTCTCCAAGCTTTTTGGTTCGGGGGCACGTTTGAAATTCTGGGAGTTCTTGGGCACTCTCACAAAATGGATGCTTTGGGGTTGGGGTGGGGCATGCCCATACCTAACCAGCTTCCGTAGTGATGTCTGGTCATAAAATACTCATTTCCCAGAAGGCAAACTGGTGAGACTTTGAGCAAGTGGCCCAAGAACTTAAGTCTAAAGCAGAGGTGGGGTCTGTGCAGCCAAATGCTAAGTCCTTGTCAAAAGTGGATGCTGCTAGTCCTCATGATAGCAGAGGAACTCATACTTCAACCACCACAAGTCTTACAATGGTCTGAAGATTGTACTGCTGTTGCTGCCGCCTTTGGACAGAGATCCTACGGTCATCAATTTTGTCTGGATACTATTTAAGCTATATGGATTGTCTATATGAATGTACAGTAAAACCTTGGATTGCAAGTAACTTGGTCTGCAAGTGTTTTGCAAGACGAGCAAAAAGTTTTTCTAAATTTTGACATGATAAATGAGCGATGTCTTGCAGTAGAACTATTACATGCGCTTTGAGTGCCAGTTCTTCTCTCTTTCACTGCGGTTGTGAGGACAGCGTCATCTCCCCCCCCCCCCCCGAGCCTCCCCCCCTCAAATTTTTGTGATTAAAAAAAAAAAAAGTTACAGAAAGGATTAACCTTATTTACATTGAACCTTATAGGGAAATTTGGTTTGATCTACAAGTGTTTTGGATTACAAGCATGTTTCCAGAACGAATTATGCTCACAGTCCAAGGTTTTACTGTATGTGTTTGAAATAGAATTTCTTGATTTTCCCCTATTTGCTATTGTTTGAAGGTTTATTCTGATTGGCTAGACTTTATTTTGCTCCTCTCCTCTCTATTTTTTCTTTGTTTCTGCCATAATTGCAAATCAGAAATAAGGAGGCAGGAGAAAAATCAGTTGATTAAGCCCAAATAGAAACAGTGCAACACCTTGCTTTGCAGCAATCTAGCTTCCCAGGTTTTTTTAATTTAAAAAATATCTTAGGAAATCAGTTTGAAAGATGTCAGGGAGCCATTGGCTGCCAAGAGAGCAGCCCGGGGGCACCCCATTGGAGACCCCATCTCAATACATAATACCTCCCCCCCCCCGCCCCCAAGATTCAGTGACCTCTCTGCAACAGTGGAAGAAATAGGGAATCAAAATTTCGTGTCTGTCTGTCTCTGCAACTTTAACCTGCTTGAGATCTGTTTCTCCTATGAAACCTTATCAGTTTATCTTTTGTTGCAGGAGCTGGTGAACAGCAGGGTGAGAAAGGTAAGGAACCACATGGGGTCTCAAAGGAAGGAACAGAGCACCAGATTCTTGAGGAAAATGATAATGTGGACAGACCAAAACAGCAGGAGGGAAGTGAGATGGAGGAATGGAAGAATACGTTGATTGCTTACCGAGGTGATCATTTCCATGCAGTCATCGCGCAGCAAAGAATCCCCAGTCGGAAAAGGAGTAATAAATGTACAGTGTGCAGGAAAGTTTTCAGAGATGAATCATACCTTAATAAGCATCAGAGAACCCACACAGGGGAGAAACCTTACAAATGCCCAGACTGTGGAAAGAGCTTCCGTTGGAGCTGTGACATGCATAGACACCAGAGAACACACACTGGAGAAAAACCATATAAATGCTTGGACTGTGGAAAAAGTTTTCATCGGAGTTTCAACCTTCATAGGCACTGCAGAACCCACACTGGGGAGAAACTGTATGGATGCTCAGACTGTGGGAAGAGTTTCCGTTGTAGCTCAAGCCTGATATGTCATAAGCGAACCCACACAGGAGAGAAACCCTATGAATGTTTGGACTGTGGGAAGAGATTTCGGCTGAGCTCAAATCTTATTAGTCACAAGAGAACCCACACTGGAGAGAAACCCTATGAATGCCCAGATTGTGAGAAATGCTTTCGTCGAAGCTCGCACCTTAATACCCACAAGAGAATCCACACAGGACAGAAACCATATAAATGCTCAAATTGTCCCAAAACCTTTTCTGATCAATCCAACCTTCTTAGTCACCTGAGAATACACACTGGACAGAAGCCATATACATGTTCAGACTGTACCAAAACCTTCTCCAATAAATCCAACCTCCTTAGCCATCAGAGAATCCACTCAGGAGAGAAACCCTATGAATGCCTAGACTGTGGGAAAAGCTTCAGTGTGTGCCAGTATCTAACTAGACATCAGAGAAGACACACAACAGAAAAACTGTATGAGTGCTCAGACTGTGGGAAAAGGTTCAGTCAGAGCCAGTACCTTATTCGACATCAAAAACATTCTCACAGGAGAAAAACTACGTGAACCAGACCTTTTACTAGAGCTTGCACTTAAGTGCTGTAGAAAGGCAGGTGCAAAATGAAAACCAGGGGTGCAGAGCCTCAGGCTTGGGAGCGAGATCTGCCTTCTCAGGGTCCCCAGAAGGTCACAGCTCTTCCTTGGACCTACCGCTTTTCCCCAGCCACAGAATGTTTGGTAGTTTTCTGGCTTTTCCCCCATTCTGAGAGGTTGAAATGCCTCTCCTAAAACTTAGTTATTGGTAGTAAGACCTATAAGGTAAAATGGGCTGTTATTTGGGGATTTTTCCCCCCAGTTTTGGGCCACGCCTCCTTTTGCCTTTGGCTCCTCCCACCACTGGAATGCTGCCTTTGAGAGATGATTCAGAATAGGAATTCAGCTGAAAGAAGTTGTCACCCCTGCTATAAATACTTGGAATTGTTGGACGTGATGGAGTTTATACACAAATGTTACCCGATACCAAATAATTTACATGGAACTGGAAATGTATATCTGTATATCAATAATATTTGGTATTCAGGTTACAGTTTGCTAGGTTTTCTTCCATACAGTTGCTCTGCCCTATTAGGGAATCCTGCACCTTCAACCTGTAAGTATAGTCTAAGGAAACAGCTCTATGCATGCTTAAACAAGGCCCTGCAACTCCTAGAATTCCCTAGCCGGGAGCCCTAGGACTTTTATTCTGCATACACTTGAACAGAATTGCACCCTAAGCCCACAGTCCTATGTATGTTTACCCAGTGAAATGGATTTCCCTGGAAAAAACCTCAAATTGGATTTTTTCCCAGAAACATTTGCCATGCAAATTAAGGCATTTAGCATGAGGTAAGTTGTTGTTGTTGTTGTTGTTGTTGTTGTTATTATTATTATTATAACATTTCTATGCCGCCCCTTGCCAAAGCCTCGGGGCAGCTTACAACACAATAAAATACAATACAAAAATAACAATATAAAATTAAAATTAATAATATAAAATAAATAAAAAATATAAACAATATAAAAGAAGTTAAAAAAGAAAAGTTAAAGAAAAGAAAAGAAAAGAAAAGAATAGAATTCGCCCTGGCCAGATAAATAAGTAAATATTGTTAACAATTAAAATGATGTTTAAATAAAAAGGTCTTCGCCTGGCACAGAAAAACAAATAACGATGGCGCCAGGCGGACCTCTCTGGGGAGCACATTGCATAGATTGGGCGCCACTGCAGAGAAAGCCCTCCTCCGAGTACCCACCCTCCTAATTTCTTTCACGGAGGGTTCCCGGAGAAGGGACCCTCCCGCAGATCTCAAGGAGCACATTAGGAAAATTTTTCTGTGCCTTAGGAACTTGTGTAGACAACCTCTGACCCTCCAGATGTTTTGGCTTACTACTACCATCACCTCTAGCCAGCAACAACTGGAGGGGCATAATTTGCCCAGTCTATACAGCAGCACCAACAAGGTTAGGAAGGTGCATTGGCCAAGAGTCTGTCCACCAGAGCAGAGGCTGAGAGCATCCCTGTTGGCTCTGCACTTGCTTTGTGTCTCTGGCAACGGAAATTCAGGTTTTGTTGAGCAGGGCTGGATTGCCCAACAAGCTCCCATAAGTCAGTGCTGGGGCTTTCTGCTAATTTCCCCCTAAAAACTCACCCATGCCAGGACCCCTTCTCAGCACACTGTCCCAGGGGCTGGGCCTGCACAGGGCTATTTTGACTGCTTTGAGGATGCCTCACACTTGAAATGGTTCTGCCACAGGCCCAGCCCTGGCAGGGACCCCAGCCACCTGTGACGAAAACAAGGCTGGCCTCTTGCTCGGCTCAGCCACGTTCCCTCAGAGTTAGACGAATACAGCAGTTAGCATGTTGGGCTACGATGAGAAAGACAGTGCTGCTACGGCCAGACTTTGAGATCCAAATCCGGGACTCTTCCGCTGGGAGGGACTGGGAAAGCATCCGACAGCTGCAGCAAACAAATGTGCCACGTATTGGGATTCCGTAATTTTGGAAGTTAGGATTAATTAAGGGTAGGTACTGAACAAGACTGGGGTAATTGGTTTCAGTTGCAACAGAATGTAGGAGGTTATCATTTTTACCCAAGTCACTGGGTAAAAAGAGAACTTGCAACTCACCACACTGAATTGTTCAGCACCAGCAAAGTAGAAACCATCCTACAGGGAAAATTGGGAGCTACTACCATTCTGGGGGCAGAAATTTTGATGGGTTGAACAGCTTTGTCTATGATGTCTCCAGGGAAAAGTGTATCTGTTGAAGGTCTGCTTATTCAATGCAACAGGGACTTGTGATGCTGGAGGGTGAGGTGCACAAAGAGAAATGAGTAAACTGCCTAGCATGGTGAAACGGGTGCTGCACCTATTGAATTTCTGTCTGTGACCTGTAATTAAAGACACAGAAGCCTTGTCGGGGTAAAGGTGATGGTGGTGGAAAGGGATTGACAACTCTGATTCAAAGGGAAACTATTTCTGACGCACAGAGAGGCACTGATGAACCCAGAGACTGAAGTGGTTAATTATTTCCTCACGCTATTCTGTAACACCGAATCACCATGTCTGGGTGTGAAAACTGGACAGTGAGGACAGCTGACAGGAAGAAAATGGATGCATTCAAAACACGGTGTTGAAGGAGAGCTTTGCGAAGGCAAACAAGAGGGTTTGAGATCAGAGCAAACCGGAATTTTTCCTGGAACCAAACATGATGAAATGTGACCTTGCTGTACTTTGGGCACATCATGAGAAGGCAGAGTTCCCTGCGGAAGACAATCATGCCAGGGAAAGTCACAGGCAGAAGAAGTAAAGGGAAACTAACTATTGAATCTATCAAGGAAGCCCAGGCCTGGATTTTCCAAGCACTGGATTTTCCAAGGATAGGATAGGACATTTTGTGGGGGAATTAATTCATAGGATTGCCAGGAGTCAGAGATGACTTGAGGGCACCTACCAACCTTTTAGAACAACTCTCGCTGATCTCAAAACCTTTAAACCAGTCTTCTAAGGTGTTTTTATCATGGGTTTTATGGTCTTCGTTTTTCTTACGGCCGTCACTTGGAGTGTTTCAGCTCTAGGGCAACTCATTAAGAGGACCAATGGAGGTGATTAGTCTCAGTAACAAGCCTGGATTTGAACCCCTTCTTTAAGCCAACTCCACTCTCCAGGTCTAGTCTTTCTTGCATAGCGGAGATGGAAGGGAGAATAAAAAGTCCATTGAAGGCCAGCTGGAAGCCTTCAGTGGAACAAGGAGAGGCAAATGCATTCCTGCCTGCAAGCCAAACCTATGTGCATCCCATCTGGGCTGCAGCAGAGATGGGGAGTAGAACAATTCGGCCATTGTTCCGGCAAGATAAGTCTTGCTTCTCCCACCATCCCACGTCTTTCACTAGTTCTTCTTTCCTCTTTTCCTATGATATCTCTTTTTTTAAAGATCATAAGCTGGCAGACAGGCACTGCCTTTCTTTAGGCTTTTTAGAGTTCCAATAAATCCCTTGCCCAAATTCATTTTCCCCTTAAGTTAAAACAAATAGTGCCATTCCACGCGATCAAAAGCTTGAAGTACATCCAATGAGAGCATTGCTATTTTTGGTTTCTCCTCAGCTGCCGTATATTTAATATTTAGCACTGTTTGGGTCGCATCAGCCGTTTGGTGGGCTGGCATCAAGCCGTACTGATCTGTGTGAGTATAATTCAGTAGGAATATGTTCAATCTTTGAGCCAAAATGGAAGAAAACAAATTTGATCCTGGTTTTGTAATGTAATTGGTCTGTTTGCTAAGGGAAGGGTAAGGTCTTTCCCTTGTTTTGGTGTAACTATTCTAGATAATTTCCAAGATTCTGGTATTTTCCTCCATCTAATATTGAATTATATAATTCTGGCAAGTGTATGGATACACCCTCCTCCCAAATTTTGTAATAATGAACGCTAGTAATGTACCCTTTTCTGAGTCTCAGAATAGCTGTTCTAATTTCCACTGCTCTTATTGGGGAGTTAAGCTGTGGTTTATGCTGTTCAGAAATTGGTATATTGGTAATACATCCACAAATTATTTAATATTTCTCTCTCAATTAATTCTATTTTGTATAACTCCTCCTAATAGCAGCTCCTCTAGAAGTACCTCATAGCTGCATATGTTTTAATGTGTCTAATATTTCCAATTCTGATTCAGTCTCCTAAGTTGTGTAAAGGTTTTATTTCAAATCATTTTCTTATGTTCTTCTGTCAGTCTCTTTCTTTTAACTTCAAGTTATTCTGGGCCTCTGTTTCTCTCTTTTTTTAAATCTAGCTCCCTCCCCTGTAAAATACCCTCTGAAGAATGCTTGTCGAGTATCCCATAAAAGAGCAGGCTCTCTTTCCTCTTTCTCATTGGTCTCATAAAAAACATAATTTCTAATTCTTTGAACAATGTGGGGGCTTTCAAGTGTACTTGAACATAACTTCTAAATATAAGGTTTCTTCTCCAGGATTGCAGTAGACCATGTTATGCCAGTCTGTTTCGGTCAGTGGCAAAGGCAAGCTGGTCAGAATTTGGAAAGGAGCGGAGGCCGCCCAGAGGGGAAGTGTCAGAGCCGACTTTGCAGAAAGTGAGTTCCCAGGAATGGTCGGCACCTCAGGACTGTGACCCAGTGGGAGTCACGAAGTGGCCAAATTAGGTCTCTTGGGAGTTGGTGGGGGAGGGACAGAGGCCCTGGCTTCAAGGATCCCATGTCCCCACAGAATCCAAAATAAGTTGGGGTGCTTTGGGCCCCCAGCTCCCGCTCCATGACACCCTCAGCTAATCTTATTAGCAGTGTAATCCTTTGTGGTAACTTGCAGTGGGTAAAAAAGTGTAGGTAAGGTTCTCCAGACATGTCATGAATTAGGCTGCTATCCCATTGTTTCCCAATGGACTCCAAGTGGCCTCCACCGTTAATCTGATCACCACAGCAAAACCCCTGTGAGGTAGGCTGAGAGTCACCCAGCTGGCCCCACAGTTGAGCAGGAACTAGAACCCAGATCACTAGAGTCCCAGTCCTGCGCTCTTAAGCACCACACCACACTGGCACTGAGTTTTGGCAAGTGAGCAGTATAACCTTATATTAAAATACCAACCAACCAAACAATAGTAAGGGTACTACAAGAATACAGAGTTTGGTATTTTTATTTAAATGATTGAGAA